CCAAACATTAGGCGCAGATTACTACAGCTATCTCAATGTTTGTCAGATTTGACAGCATTTCTAAATATCCTGAAACTGCTTGCTAGCTTTGCCACTTACTAGCACAGTGATCTTGAGCAAGTTACACATCTGATTATTAATTTCTTCATTTGTTAAGTGAGGTAATGCTAAACTCAGAGAATTACTCTGGGAAATAATATTAAATTAAAATCAAGTGCACATACAGTGCAGTGATTAAAAACTTAAACTGTAAAAACTTAAAACCTTAAACTGTAGCTTTTATCACTAAATTGTTACAAATGTGTTTCTCTTTTCTTCCACTCCACACTCTCATCTACATTTCAGCTCTCGGGTAATTCAAATTTCCACTAAACCAGAATGAACAATTAAATACATCCAATTTTTGGAATTGAATCTTTGAAACAAAATCAGTATAATGATAAAGTTGTGAAGGACCTTACAAGTTGTGCATTCTAGGGTTGACCTTTAGGACAGAAAGACAACGAGGCTGAGAGGGCTTAAATTGTTAGGGCCTTCACACTAGCAAGGGTCAAAAACAAATCAAGAGCAAAGAACAGTGCAACAATAGGCACCACTTTTACTTCCACCAACTGTCTAGAGTAGTCTAAAACTTCTAATTTATCATTCAGGATTTGATATTTCCAAAAAGGGCAAGTTGCTTGTTCAAAAAAACAAATGTTTTAAGTTTTCCACTTGCTTATCTTTCCTATCTCAAAAATATGTGGAGAACTAGTAAAATATTTACTTAATTTCCTAAAAGCCAAATCTGTTTCATTTGTGTAACTATGTGAAAAACAGAAAATCTAATATCCCTGGTGAAACTCTGCTGGCTAGAAAGAGGCAACTGTGGCTGTAAAGTATCCCCTGGGGAAGAAATCCTGAAGAGAATTATTTCATAAATCACATCAATCAGTCCTCACCTTGAAAATGAAAACTTTTAAATGAATTGACTTTATATCATCAATACAATTTTTTTCTACAACCAGTCTTTGTATAACACAAACAACAACTCTGGTCTAGATTTTCTATCCCTGTAGTAAGTTAAGTAAGAATTGAAGAAAGTCTGTAAGAGTTTGAAAGAGCAGTTCTACCCAAAGAGAGTGAGAAACTAATCAATTTAGGGAAAAAGAAAATAAATAATTTGAAACTGGGGATGTCCCCATGGCTTTTTATTTTTTCATTTTGATGCAGGATCTCTGTAAAGTCACTGAGTTGCCCAGGCTGGGCTCAAACCTGTGATCGTCCTGCCTCAGCCTCCCAGAGTGCTGGGATTATAGGTGCACACCACCACATCCAGTGTAGGGAAAGTTTTTAAGTATATAAAAAGCATTACTTTTACACTTTGTCAGCCCATATAATGTTTCCACCGCATTCTTCTATAGCCTTAACAATGCAACAGACCAAAGGAGAAAATTCAACATAGAACGTCTTAATGCTTTAGTTACTTTTTAACATCTATAGGTGTATTTTTTTAACAATATAACTTTTTTAAAAAAGCTAGTGCTATTAAACAAAAATTATGCTATTTTCAATAAACTGAAATCAGATCTTCAATTGGCATAGGAGTTGAGGAAAAAGCACACAAAATACTCCTCTCACCTCCATTTCCATGTTATAGCCATGTAAAATCAAATAATTTATTAATAAGCTTTTTAGTAGAAATCATACAAAATCTAACAAAATGCATGTATCTTCACATGGACAAAGATGGCCTTTAAGTTCATCTTAACCGTAGACAACTCAAAATGGGTCATAGACTTAAATATAACAGCTAAATCAGTAAAATATCATTTATAAGAAAACATAATAAACCATAAAGCTTTGAGAACTTGGGCTAGTAAAGGGTTTATAACACCAAAAGCGTAGTCCATAAAAAAAGGTAATAAATTGTACCTCACAAAAATTTAACACTTTTATACTTCAAAAGATATCAATAAGAAAATGAAAAACAGGAGAAAATACTTACAAAACATAACCAATAAAGAGCGTGTATGTATTTACAAAAGAAAATCTTTTAATTCAATTTATAATATTCTCAGTCCATTTTCTGTTCCTTGATCAGAACACCTGAGACTGGGTTAATTTATAAAAGAAAAACATTTATTTTGGCCCCTGGTCCTAAAGGCTGGGAAGTCCAAGAGTACAATGGAGCACCTGCTTAGGTGCTTCATCCCAAGACAGAAAAGCAGAAGGGCAAACTCGTGCATGCCAAGAGACAAAACCTAAAGTGCAGACTCACTTCTAACCATCTATCCTTAGGAGGAAACCATTAAGCGTTCTTCAAAACCTAACTACCTCACAAAGCCCCCATCATTCTCAGTGCAGCTACAATGGAAATCAAATATCAACATCAGTTCTGGAGGGACAAACAGTTTTCAAGCCACAGGATTAATATTAAGCAAAATTAAGTATCAACATCAAGCAAAGATATGCACAGGCATTTCACCAAAGATACTGTAGCGATGATTAATGAGTATGAGAAGATTCAACATCATTAGTCCCTGGGGAAATACAAAATTAAAGCCTCATGAGAGAGCACTTCTTACCCACTAGAATAACTAAAGTAAATCAGACAGACAATAACAAATGTTGTTTAAAAAAAAATGGAGAAGAAGGAACTTTCATGAATTGCAGGACGGACAGTAAAAGCATGCAAACATTTTAGAAAACAGTTTGGTAGTTTCTCAAAAAGTTAAACATAAAGCTATGATAGGACCTAGCATTTCTACTCCTAATATTCCTAATATCTACCCAAGATACAGGAAAACATGTCACATGTACTAATAAAAATAAATTTAAAAATACTTACAACTGAAAAAAAAGGAAAAATGTGTCCACACAAATCTGCGTGTGAATACTCACAGTGGTGCTATTTGTAATGGCCCAAAACTTAAAACAATGTCCAACTAGTAAGTATACAGACAAAATGTGCCATATCCATACAATGGATTATTCAATAATAAAAGAACAAACTAATGACACACGCTGTATCATCCAAGAACCCCAAAGCACTGTTAAATAAGTTACAAATAAGAGATTCCATACTGAATGACCACAATTATACGAACAGTTTAGAAAAATCAAACTTCTGAAGACAAACAACAGATTAACGGTTTCCTGGGACCAAGGATGGGAACGGAAAGAACTCTGAATGTGTATGAGCAATCTTACTGTGGTGTTCTACAACGATCCATAACGATGGACACAGCATTTGGTAGATACTAAAACCTTTTCAATTGTATACTTAGAATGGATAAATTTTATGATATGTAAAATATCATAATGCTGTCAATAATGCTGTTTTTAAAAATGAACATGCTTTTGTTTCACTGGTTCCTTGAATTAAGTAACTTGAGATTATAACAATTTATATAATATATATTAAAAATCAATTGTACTGATTCTTGTCTTGGACAGGAAACCACAGTCTCTCTTTGAAGAAAATCTAAGGTAGTGTTAAATTCCTCCACCTGGCTGCCCACTGGGCAGAGATTCTCCAAGAAATGGACTTCTCATAAATTTCTTCTGTTAGCTTATATTTGAAGACACCAGTGCCTGGAAGCACCTCTAAGTTGTCCTTTGACAATGGCTAATTGGCCTGGTGGCTATTCTATTCTGCATTCAGACTACAGAACTTCTAAGTCCCCAAAAAATGTTTAACACAATTTGAAAGGACATATGGTTAAATTATGTAACTTGAAGAGAGTACATTTCCATATGGCAAAGACATGGTTTGCTGAAGTAACTGAATATGTAACACACGAGTCCTCGGTAGTGATATGAAATGACAGGCAATGTTACCAACATTAGTCCAATCCCTAGTTCTACATTTGTTCTAACCATATTCTAATTATCAATTCTTCTTATAAGATCTTTCAAAGCTAATTCAGAACTTCACAGGACTTCAAAGAATTCTACAAACTTTTTAAGTCTTTGCACAAATACCACTTTGTCTGTGAGGCCTTGTCCGACTACTTTGTTAAAACCTGCTGACCTCACAAAGTCCGTGTCCTCCCATCCCTCATTCACTTTTCTCAATAGCCTGACACATCAATTTTGCATATGAATTCTGATTGTTTGTCTTCCCCTAGAAAGCAAGCTCCGTGAGAGATCTGGTTTGGTCTTTGCTATATGCACGCTGCCTTTAATGTTGCCTAGCACGTTGTGAGTGCTCACTAAGTGCTAGGCATGTGGAAGAACACAGGAGCCCGATTCTCATCTCTTCAAGTCTTCACTGAAGGTTAAAACACGAGTTTTACAAGAAAATAGAGACCTTGGAATAAAATCTCCAGGCTGTCTACTCAGTGTTCAGCGGGGGAGGGGGATGTTTCCCTTACAATTCTAGATTTCCAACAGTATTTTTAATGAGCTAGCTCGAGCTGTGGAGAGAGGACAAGTTAATTAAACCCCGTGTGACTCTCATTAACAAATAAGACAGCAAAGGAAAGTTTAATACTTAACTACTAAGTACTCTATAAAATTTCCAAAGCAGTCTGGTTTTCTGCATCCAAAATGGGATCCCATCTCCCAAGAAAGCAGACTTCGCCAGAACATGCCTTAGTGGTTCTGGATCCTCGGCCCCAAATCCTCTCACCCCAGGGAACGCTTATCCTTCCCTTCTCCGAGAAGCCTCCTAAGCCACACACCTGCCACTGCACCTACCCCGACCCGGTCGGAGGCGCTCGGGCGCCTCGCACCCTGGGCCCGGGGAGCCCACGCAGCCTCCGCGAGGAGGCGGGGACTTCCCGGCCCGGACCCGCCATCCTCCTTGACCTTGGGCGTGCAATCTCCAGGGTCCCGTCTCTACCCTCCGAGGTGAGGCAAGGCCGCGTCAGGTGCCCGCGCCGCTGCCCAGCCCGACCCTCGCCTCGCAGGGAGCGGAGGGCACGCGGCGGTGCAACTGCACCTGATCCCGCGCCCGCGCCCGCCCCCGCCCACCCTGCCACCGCCCCGCACGCCCAGACCGCCGCGCACTCAACTCTTCACTTTGCCGAAGGTGCCGACGCCCAGCGTGTCCCCCAGCACATAGTGTCCAATCTTCACCCGCCCGTCGTGCTTCTGCTTCTCAGCCATGTTCGGCGCGCAGCCTCGCTCCGCAGACCTCAGCGCACAGGCACGGCCGGCACCTACCCACAGTGCACCGGGCGCGGTGATATGGGCGGGGGCGCGGTGGGTGGGCGGGGCGCGGGAGCCCTGGGGTGGGGGGGCGTGGGGCGGGACCCGAGCGAGAGAAGTGTGGTGCCCAACCTGGAGGTGAGGGAGAGCGGGGCGGAACCGGTGGGCAGGTCTGGGCGGGTCTGGGCGGGGCGCAGCTGGGTGGGCGGAGCTTTGGCCGAGGGGCTCGTCAGTGAGAGCAGCTTCGCGGGTCCACACAGGTAAGAGGTGCGGCGGAGCGGCCGCGGGCTGCAGAGGACTGAGGGGCGAGTTCTTCCTGAGGAGAATTGCGGGAGAGACGCGGGACTGAGGGCCGTGCCTGGTACAGAGGGCTGGAACGGGTGGGAGTCGAAGCTGAAGCAGCGACACCCACGGGCCGGGCGCGCGGGTGGATCGGGGTCCCCCTGCGGCTGGAGGGGCCTCTCCTCTGAGCGCCTGGCTTTCACCCACCCGGACCGCGCAGCGGCTCGGCGCTCTGTGCCCACGTGCGGGGTACGCGGCCCCGCTGCCCTGGGAGCCGGGAGAGGGGAGAGGGGCCTGGGGTGCAGAGGAAAGCGGAGCGCGGGGGAGGAAGAGCGTCCGGAGCGTTGCTACCCAGGCACAGTAGGAAAGACAGCGGACTTTGGCAACGTTCATCCCTTCCTCCTTCCCTTCTTCCCTTCCTTCCCTTGATGTTCTCTCAAAGTGTTGTCCTTTCAGTGCTTAAAAAGTATTTGCTTTACACTACCAAAAATATCATAAGCATGTAAGCTAATGCATATGTTAACTAGCTCCACTTAGCCGTTCCTCAAAGCACATATGATTCCAAACATGTACACAATAAATACGTACAGGTTTTGTCAATGAAAAAATAACTTTTTTTTTCTTTTTTGCAGTGCTGGAGAACGAACCCAAGGCCTTGCAGGTACTAGACAAGTGTTCTACCCCGAGCTACATCTCCAGCCCAAGTGAACAGTTTAAAACAACAACAACAACAGTTTAAAAAAAAGAATCATTTGCTCTTAAAGGATAATAGTTCTTAAGGATTAGTCAAACATTTATAGCAACGTGTGTGCCAATAGTTTCAAGGTCACGTTCTTCAAACTTGAAATCTCACAGATCACACTGTTTTTATGTAAAGAGAAATGTAGTAGAAAGAAAAGAATGTAACAAACTTTGTTTTCTGAGAAGTGCTGTATACAGAAATGCATTCGCTACACTCAGGACCAGCTAATGAGAGATGGTCACTGCTTATTAATTATAAATATTAACAGCTGTCGAACAGAAGCTATTTTTGTTCACTCGTTGGATCATCTTTCTTGCTGACAAGAAGTGTCATTTAAGAATCACTCTACCTAGCTGGAAGTTTTGAGAAAATAGCCAGCTATTTTTGATGCTAAACATTTATTTGGCAAAGGCTCTCTTCTTCAGTGAGGGAGCCTTCAAGTGAGTAAGAATACAAAGTGCTAACCCTGCTTTTGAGATGCAGATATATGCCCCTCTGGTAACATCCCAGTAAAAGACGCTGATGAGCCTCCACTTGCAATTAGAATGATTTCTTGAAGCTACAATGAAGACAAGCTATAATCTGAGGTTTTAAAGCATGTTGCACTGTTAATTACTAATTAAAAGTTAAATTATTATACACTTCATAGCTGTGATTCTTACAGAGCTGCTCTGGACTACCTTGAGCTTTGTTTTTATTGCCAAACTTGTATGATACTTTGTTGATAAAGAACACAGTTATCTCATTTAATTGTCATAAAACAAACTTCTTATTCCCATTTTATAAGTGATAAAATTTAGTTTTTTTCTTTATGATTCACCCAAGGCTTAAAAGCTAAGTGACAGAGCCAGGCTCATTTGCAGTTCTGACTTGCTTTTTCTTTCCATTCTGCCTCATCTGCCTACACAAAAGAGCACACAGTGCTGTAAGAAAACTCAGAGTGTTCACAATCACAGTCCCATTCTCACATTTGTATTTCTAGGGCAAGTAATGTATCTTTTAAATTTATATTTTTTGTTATTTTCCGAACTTTTATTTAGAGCTAAGATTGAATAATATATGATGAGAAGAAGGAAAGCAGACTGGGCAGTAGTACTCAGCTTTCTATTGCCCTGAACATTTTGTGTATGATACCATGTTTGTCTCACCTTAGTAATGAAAAACTCAACTATTAAGCAGGCTAGATCTCCTCAAGATTATTGCCCCTTGGGGATCTCACCCAACCATATTGATAAATGCAATAGTCTCCATTTTATTACTTTCAATGATGTTTAATGTCTCTATGTTGTTTAGCATCTCTAAGATTGATGCCCTAGATAACAGTTCAGTGCTTTACCTCCTACTATTGAACTGTTAGTATTTTTTTCTTCAAATATTCTAAAGCAAAGGCCTGCATAGGAGCTGAATGGAGTACTGCTAAACTAATACATTATGCTAGACTGCACTGGTGTTAGCAACCTATTCCTTCAAAGTCACCTCTGGGAAGCCTACCGTGACCATCCTGTTGAAAATTGCAATCTCACGTACAACTTTGCTTTGTACTCTCCACACACACACTCTATCCCCCCACCCTCCCCAACTGTTTGCCATGGCATTGATCTTCTAACAAACTACTAATTATTATTTTACGTTGTTTCATCTGTCACTTCCAACTAGAACATAAGAGGGAGTGTTTTCCTCCATGTTGTTCACTGCTGTGTCCTTAGCTTCCAAACAGTGCCCAACAATTTATAGGCATCCCAATGGATTCAGGTTGTGTGACACCTGACATTTATACAATGTGGGAGATCTCTTTCAAGAAAAAAAACTACAAAATTTGGTGTAAATGTATTTATTTAAAATAAAAAACACAACCAATTGTGAATTTAAAAAGAAACTGATAAATACCACAAATATCTCCAAATCCAGAAAAATAATATTTTCATAAATTAATTATCCAACATGCCTCCATACTGTAATACATGTCATTTACTTTTTTTGGCAGTATACTCATTGATTATCTTTTCATACTTTGTAATTCTTTAAAAGAGAGAAAGATAATTCTGACCTTTTAACATCGTTAAATTTTTGATTACAGGGATCCCATTCCACATTTTTCATATTTGTGATATAGCATTTATCATTTTATTGTGTATAGTTTACATATGAACATGTTATGTTCCTAATGAAGCCTAGTATATCATTCCAGAAATATTTTCATTGAACTCTTAAAAAGGGTTACTAATCTAGAGAATGAAGAGCAAAGTGCAGTTTCATTTTATGATACACGTGCTAAACATGTAAAAATGATACACGTGCTAAAAATGTAATTTTACATTTCGGTATGGCAGTCAGCAGTAATGTCGAAACTAGGTGATATGGCCTGTATCTAGATGTCCCCCCAAAGCCTCAGTCATAGGTGGGGCTTTGGGGAGGTGGCTGGGTCTAGGGTTTGTGCTGCTGGGATCTGATGCTGGGATTGATTCATGGTGCGATGCTAGGATTAAGGGAAGGTAGCCTGGGTAAGACGTAAGGGACAGAAAGAGCTGTGATTGGGACTTGTTGGTAGTAATTGCTTGCTTGTGTTGCTCTCTTCTCCAAGCCATGAACTGTTTCTTTGTGATGCCTGTCTACCATGGCACCCTACCTTGGAGCCAGACAATTAGGGACTGAAATCTCTATAAATTATGAGCCAAAAAACCCTTTCCTCCCTTAACTTTGGGTGTCAGGTCCCAGCAACAAGAAAAGTAACCAAGACAGTAGGCATAAATCAGAACCTATAGAACCTTATAGATTAATGATAGGGTAGGGTATTTTTTTTATTGTTCTCCAATACAATATAAAAAGAAAAAGAAAGTTGGGTATCCAATGATTAGTGATGCTGATAGTGTCTTCTCTGAAGCATAAGCTCAATAATTTAAAAATTTTTTTAAAGAAATTTCAAGCATCCATAAAAGTTGAATAGTATGAGTGACAGAAGCATCTCTGAGTATCAATATTATCAACATTTACCAACTTGTCTCTTCTTTTTGTTTGCTTCCTGGGCTACAGCCATATCACCCTGAATGTATTCGAACTGGTTTGCTTCCTGGAATATTTTTGAAGCAAATAACCAGTGATATAATTCCACTGGTAAATACTTCTGAATATAGCTCTAAAAAGTAAGGAGTTCTTTTTAAAAGAATCATACTACTAATATAATATCTGACAAATCTAACATTAATTCCTATTATGGGATACCCTCCTATTTTCAATTTTCCTTGATTATTTTGAGGATAAACTTTTACATTCAGTTTATTCTAACCAGGATCAAAAAAGTCATGCTTAACATTTTGAGCCTCCTGTGTTTCTTTCAATCTATAATGGTTTCCCTTCCTCCCTTTAAAAAGTGTCATTTATTTGTTGAAAATTGGGTGATTTTTACCTGTTGAACATTCCAAGCCCACATTGGCTTTAGCTCAATAATTATTTGTGATCATGAGTTAGTAGAGAAAGCACAATGTTCAGAATTTTAAAACTCTGAGTTTATTTCTTAGAGTGGCCACTTATGTTCTTAAATATATCATGTCATTTCTCACTGGTATCAGACTAGATGATATTAAAAGTACTTTTCAGTTGTTAATGCATTTCACTCCCAAATCCCACTCCTTATTTTAGAACGAATCTACTAAAGGAAAGATAGAGGAATTATTATAAAGTATTAAAACCGCAATCTAGTGTATCTTTACAAACTGCTTGATCTTGGCACAGTATTTTCCCTATATACATTTCACCTTTTGATATTTATTTATTTATCTATATTTATATTTTGTTGGTTTTTTGAGACAGGGTCTCACTATGTAACCCAATCTGGCCTCAACCTCACAATCTTCCAGCCTCAGCTGGCTCTTGAAATGTCAAGAGTGACATTTATTATCATTGATTTTTAAGGTTGAGAGAATATTGCCTGACCCAACGTCCTTTAAACAGATTAGTAGTGCATGTGACAATCCCTAAAATCCCTGGAAGGAAATGTATTATATAACTTCTAGATGTTATTTTTAGCAGGTACCCTAGTAACAAATGTCATACTTAACATAATCCATTTTCATTTTCTGGTTGAGTACATTTCTAAATTACTTCAATATGAATCAACATTATAATTTTTAGTGTAGCTAAGAAAAATAGAACATTTTGATTCAGACTTCCTTTGTGAGCAGATGCATTAATTGCAATAACAAAAGTCGTTTGCTTTGCTGTACAAACACTGGAACTGACAGCTTTTTTAGAATCTTGCTTTCATGTGTATGTTGACAGCCTGTCTGAAAAGAAAGCTCAAACACACTTTTAGATCAGTTAAATTAATTATTCCCCCCCACCCCGACATGGATTCGGTAACTATCTGTGCTAAATCCTTATACACTGGTAAAGCTTGAGTAAGGAGATACCAATGTCACCTTGAATTGATTATCTCTGCTATGGCTGTCTTCTGTAATTAAAACAACCCTAACAACCTTTGACAAAACTAACAGTGTATGTATTATTTGAATTCTTTCATAAACACTTCTAATGACCTCAAGTGGGTGTTAATGCTTTGGTGTTTGGCTCAATCCTGTTAACAATAACTGCAAAGCTTTGACATGATTAATTGATGCAAAGAAGATAAATTAGGTAATTTCAAAAGTTCCAAATGCTCTAGAAATAACCAAATAATTCTCCCTCCAAGAATAAAGACTTTTTAAAAAAGAGCTGAAGAATTCAATTCTCTTTTTGAATTGGAATGTGGCCTTGGACTAGGTGCCCTTTGAGGCCTCTTAATTCTGAGATTTTACTTCTATGAAATTAAGTTGTGTTAATAATTTTTAAAGTATTTATTGACAAAATTCATACTTAGTTTAAAAATATTGTAATAATTTTAAAGTGCTATGAAGGTAGTTATTTCAACTAAAGGTTCCCAGATTCTCTGAGTATGTTGTTCTTTTGATCTAAATAGATTCCTTCATTGAACAAAGATACATTCACTGAATGACTACTGAGTGCATGGTACTACTGTAGGCACTGGGGGTATAGTATAGAACTAGACAGATTGCAGCCCGTCTTGTTTGCCACTCATAATGTTAGCATTTGTTAAAGAAAAATTATTCATGACACTTATTAAATACAGCAAGACAGACTTTCCTCAAGACTATTGTAACAGCTATGGGGGGCACTGCAAAAGAGTTTTCCAGAGAGGCAGGTGTGGGGAGGGGATTCAGCTCCAAATACAGCAAAGAAAAGTAGGAATTTATAACCAAGGTGATAGGTAGGATATGATGATGGAGAGAAGATTACTAAGTAAGAGGGTAGAGAAATTGCCTGCTAAACTGACTTAGCAAGTCTTGCTGAAGGCAGACCAGAGTGATCAGACACTAACTGGAAGATGGAAGTAGGTGAGTAAAGAATTTGGTTAGATACCAAGAGTGGAGAATTCCGGCTGAACTGAGCAGAACTCGTGCTAAAATTGGGCTCTTGAGGACATGCCCAAAAATTGACCTAGGTAGACTCAGAGGAACCTGAGCAGAGTGTGGTAAAAGAAAGAATCTTTGTCACATTCTAGTGCAAGAGCCAAACAATAAACAGGCAGATAAGTATATACCGTAATATAATGTTAATGATGAGTGCTATGAGGAAAAATAAGGCAGAGTCAATGAATACAGATATGGGAAGGGGAAGATTGGATAGGCATTTTATATAGGTTATCAGAAAATCTCTGAAAATGTAGCATTTGTAAATTGTGTGAAGGAAGAATTATATGAAGGAAGAAGCAATTGAAATATTGGGGATAAGGACACTTTTGACAGAAGGAAGAACAAGTGCAAAGGCCCTGAAACAGTACAGATGGCACATCATAGGAATAGCAAGAAAGTCAGTATGTCCAGAGTGGTGTGTACAGGAGCAGATTGGAGAGGGTTGTAATTAGAGTGCAATTATAGTAAGATCATATTTGGCTCTGTATAAAACTTTGGATTTTTAAAAAAGTAATCAAATCCTTTTGGAGATTCTTTTTAACAGGACAATGTTCTGATCTGAGTCCTAGACTTAAAGGTCTTTCTAGACAGCTATATGGCAAAAAATAGGAGGTTGGAAACAAAAAAACAAAAACTACTTTGGAGACACTTTTACTAGACCACAGGAGTGCTAGTAGTAGCTTATCATAGAGTGGTAGCAGTGAAAATAGCAAGAGACATTAAGATTTGACATAAACATTTTGAAGTTGGCCCCAAGAGGAATTGTTAATAGTTGGATGCAAGATGCAAGAAGAGTGAAAAAAGGAATCAAAGACTTACATTTTGGCCCCTACAACTATAGGATTTTTACAAGGGTGCCATGGTCTGAAATGTAAAAGATTTTTTGAGAAATAAGTTGAGGTAGGGCTGGGGGCTAGATAAGAGACAAAATTCTGTTTTAACCATGGTAAGTTTAAGATTCATTTGAGAAATCCAAAAGAATGCATTGAATAGGCAGGGGGCAGGCAGATAGCAAGTTTGAAGCCAGTCTGGTCTACACAGTGAGCTCAAGACCAGCCTGGACTATACAGGGAGATGCTATCTCAGAAAGAACAAATGAATAGGGTTAACTGCAGAGTATAGAACAAGAAGTTAGAGGCTCTTGGACTTCATCAAAGGTAAGATGACAAGGATCAGATCCACCGGCTCCCAGGAGGGAAAGAGGGAAAAAGATGAATTTGAGAGATGTTTAAGAGAAAGAATGAAGAGTAATATGTATTAGTTATGAATTAAGAGAAAAATTGAGCAATTTGGGCAAATTTATCGCATGGCATCATGGATGAATCGATGATACAAAAATACAATTATTAGCCTATGACTTCCTCCTCTAAAAGTGTTCAAAGACTTTACATTGCCTAAATATTAATGTTTAAAGCTTGATAGCCTGGCATTCATGAGCCCTAAAATTTGCCCTTTTGTTGTGCTCCATACCATTCTATGGTACATCCTTGGAACTCAAAAACGTAATGGAATTCAGCTGAAAAGTTATTAGTCTACCAAATAAATTTAAACTCTGTGAGTGTTCACTTCAGCAGCACATATACAAACTCCTTGAGCCTGGGTTATAGGCCTTCTACAATCTGGTCCCTGCCAGCCTGATCTTTTGCTTCTCCTTTCTTGCCCAAAGCTCTGATCACATCCAGCTTCTTTCAGTTCTATGTATACGTCAAGCCCGTACCTTTACTCCTGATGTTGTCATTGTCTTGAATTCCCTTCATCTAAGGTACTCCTAATCAAAATCCACCTAGCAAACACCTCCACATCTTTTAAAAGCCACCTTCTATGAAGACTTTCCTTAACTTCCCTTATATGTTGAGCTCCTGTTTTCAGTAACATTGTCCACATTGTATTTCATTAAATCTACCACTGGCTCACTGTTACCTGTCTGGTCCACCATTTTGCTGCCAGTCCCTGAAGGCCTAGCAATGTGAACATGGCAGGCACTAACTCAGGTGAATCAGAAGAATGAGGAACAAATGAATGAAATCTCAGTTCAGGGATCATAACTTCACCTTACTTTACCTACCGTGGCCCAGACAAGTGCCAAAAGCTTCTTCCTTTTTCTCCTCTAGAATTATATACCACTTCTGTTCTAGCTCTGTGTGTATGGTGCTGTGACATTATATTTGTTCTTTGGTGTTGTTTTTGTCTTCCATTTTTGGTGTATTCATCCCCTCCTTGAAATATTCAAGGGAATGGCTTTTACCATTTTATGATCAGGTTTCTAGTACTTAGGAACTCAATACAAGTTTTTTAAAATGTATTATTTAATACTTAAGGAGTAACCTTATCTTTTAAAGTCATATGTCATGTAATCTTGTCTATCTTTGTCCACCTTCAGAAGGAATTTCCTAACTATTCCTGATTGGAATTAATATTTCACTATGGCATGCTGAACTATTGCTGTATCTCATCCGTGTCACCATCCCTTTGTGGGGCATTTCTTAATTTAGAGTGACTATGAAAGCCTAAAGACAAGAATACTTTTACTTTTCATCATATTCCCACATACTTGGCATATTTCTACCTGAAAGAGCCATAAAGTGACACCTTTGAATCTGATATGATTTATTTTGTTAAATAATTAGTAAGCTACTGCATTTATACTATTGTTGGTAACTGTTTAGAGCAACCTCTTAGCCCACTAAGAATGACTATACATTGTCGTCATTCTTTAAATGTTTGATTAATGAATAAGGGAAAAGAAAAATAGTATTTTCACTGTCAAGTTCAGGGGGAAGACAGAGCATACCTTTTATACAAAAGTAGTCCCCTTATTTAATCTATCATTGTTTATATCCAGAAATAATTTACTCACATGAAGTAGAGAAAGACAATATTGTCCTTCATAAACTAAATTCAATATAAAATAACTTTAAAGATTTACTCCTCTTTCCTCAGTCCAAGCTGGCTTTGGACACAAATGGAAATGTTATAGGAATGGAGATTCCCTTGAGGTTTACATTGTTGAACACTCTCTGTTCTCTAGAGGAGCCAAGACCCACACCCATTCCCTTTGCCCAGTCTTCCTCAGGGCTATGTATCCATCTTGCATCCTTTGCTGTCACCAGGAACCTCCAAATCCAGGAGGAGGGAGGGATTTTGTTTTCTGCTCATCATCATCACAGTGAGAAGAGCTGAGTGTGTTCCTTTATTTTATAGCTCCTTCCAGTGTGGAACCTGAAGCATGTTTGTCAGGAAATGGGCACAGTGGCAGGGAGGCACACAATCCGCAAGCTGGCAGAAGCAGCTATCCAACCAAAGCGTGATGGAGTAGCCCAGGTTAGTGCTAATTTTTTCAGGACACAATTCAAGCCTCAAGATTTTTTTAATGCTGGCTCCAAAAGAATTATCCCATGAGTGATGCCCTCAAAGCTTTTACCTTCTCAAGAAGACTTGTACCGTGAGTAATTTAAAAACAAATTACTTATTTTTCAGTTGTAGAATAAAATTGCACCTTGTTATATTTCTTTCACCAACCTACTTATATAGGAAAGAAGTTACTTGATTTTTGCTGTCTCTTTTCACTGAATATGACAGGAATTCTCTTGGAAATAGACATAAAACAGAGTGTGATTATAGACTTACTTCTGTTCTTTTCTTTACTCTCCAATTATAAAATCTAATGATAACTTTATAATCCCCACAGGGCAAAAGCTGAATCATGTGGTAATTGCTCAATGAAAACAAGCTAGAAGATAAGCAAGTTGGTTTTTTTTTAGTAGAATTCATCATCTGTCTTCAGTAAAGTGTCTTTTTTTTTTCTATTGAACCTAGGACCCCACTTCTTTTTAGATTTTTAAATTTTGAGACAGGCTTTCACTGAGTTGCTGAACTGCCCATGTTGGACTTGAATTTGTTAACACTTCTGCCTCAGCCTCGTGGAGTGGTGGGATTACATTTGTGCAACACCGCGCCCAGCTATGGTTCTCTCTCTAAGTCGCAATATTGGACTATGTTCTTGGAATGCAAACTCATCTTGAACTCTGAATTACTGGAGTTCAAGAGTAATTCAAGTACTGAACTACTAGAAAGGCTGTCTGCCTTGCTTGTACAGACACCCATAGTACCATTGACTACTTGCCGCTTCCTTTGCCTGTTAGCTTTCCAATTAAATCTAGCCTGCAATTTGTGATACTGTACTTACCCATTTTCCTTCCTGCTCTGCTCAAAGTCTGAATAATTCAACAATCTCTTGCTTAGCACCACACATCTAAAATTCATTCTACAAAATTTAACCTCATCCTAGCAAACTCTATTGTTTCCCCTGAAAACGTTGTCATAGTGTCAGATAAACCTAGAACATGCCAGGTTCTTTTTATACCAACGTAACTGCCAACCTAGTCACTGCCTAGCATTCAACAACTTTAAGAAGAGATTGCTCTTTGCTTGTCTTTAATGGAAGAGACTGACATGAACATTTCTTCTTGGGCTTGCATTAAAAAATAAAGTCTATTGAGAGGTATCAGATGAGGACCTATTTAGATTGGAAGTAGAGAGAATGAATAGCTTTTATGAATTGGAGAAATGAATTCTTAGTTTGGTTAAAAGCATATTCTACACCTTATTTCCTGTTCAATAAGTGGAGCATTTTCATGGAAATAAGCCAAAGGTTTTATGAAAAGTCTCTTACTTTTTCCATCTGTTAGGAACATTTGTCAAATATAAATTAAAAGTAAATCTCTACAAAAATTGTATGTTCTCACTCTGCTGTTGGGAGTTCAATTTTATAGCTTTTTATTGTGAGTCTTAGCTGAGTTTGTATCAGATGAAATCTTATAAATAGAGTCATTTTTCAAACAAAAATAACTTGATCTTTTTGTATTGTAAATAAATTTCAGCTTTAAATGAAGAATTTGAAGTTTTGAAATGTTAACTATTTGTAATCACTTTACAGTTTCTGCCATGATATGTCTATCGTCCTAAAATCTTCCAAGTATTCATCACAAATCTGACATTTTATGAAACAACCTGGCTTTTCTATGTAGTTTTTGGATAACTCACTTAGTCTCTACATTGTTATCATGTTCTAGCCTAAAAGAAAAAAGAGCTAAGGTCACTTGAACAAATACTTGACTAAGAAATCATATCCATTTGAGTCCTCAAAAGTTTAATCATGCACAATTACATCTCCTGTAGTAATATGATATGCACATGTAAAAGGAAGGAGCAACTTCTGGTTTTTTTTGTGCAGCTACATTAAGGTAATATTTTCTACTTAATCTATCTAGAAGCACCTACAGAGTTGGAAAGCTGTGGTTGGAGGAAGCAAGGGGAATTGTAGAGATGATATCTCCATATTATTTTGGATGACTTGCTAAGGTGCAGTTTTGTTTTTGGTTTGTTTTGGTTTTTTGGTTTTGGTTTTTTTTGTGGTACCGGGGATTGAACTCAGGACCTTGCGCTTGCCGGGCAGGCATGGTGCCACTGAGCTACATCCCTGGCCCCCAAGATGCAGTTTTGAATAAACTTCATTGTAAAGTACTTATTTAGTGTGAAGCTTAAATCATGAAAAATACACAAGGGAGCCAAGTTAGTTGAGTAATAATTTTATAGAAATTGATGTATTTATTAAATATGCTTAAGGGTAATAGAAACCAGTTAACATCCTACTCTACTTCTTTCTTTCTTTCTCTCTTTCTTTCTTTCTTTCTTTCTCTCTTTCCTTCTTTCTTTCTGGATTGTCATCAGCTTTCTCATTCCTTTAAATTGTTGTTTGCTATTGCCTATGAAGGAACCACATTGTACAACTTATTTGAAATTTTTTTTAACAGTGCTATTCAGGTAACTGTTCTCCTGACAGGCTCATCAATACAGAATGTCATCTTTGAAGCTTTTCCCAGTAAGTAAATCACAAAAGAAATGCAGGAAGAACCTTATTCAAGAACTGATTTTCACCAGTTACAGTAGTGAACACTCCAGTTATGCTTCCTAAATGTATAGATCTGTCTTTCCTTCTTTTCATCTCTCTTCTCATGTCTTTTTACATATCTTTCCCTCCCTCCCTCCTTCCTTCCCTCCCTTCCTGTCTTTCTCACATGCACTCAAAGCTTCTCTGCAGGAAAATAATATATATCAAACAAGAGTATTTGACTTTATTTATTTAAAATAAAATAACTTCAGTAAGGGAAGCAAAAAAGTGAAAACTCTCAGAAAAGGGACAAGATGCCGGGCAGGTGGCACATGCCTGTAATCCCAGCTGCTGGGAGGCTGAGGCAGGAGGATTGCTGTGAGTTCAGTGCCAGCCTGGGCTATATAGTGAATTCAAGGCCAGCCTGAATTAAAGTGAGACCTTGTCTCAAAATAAAATAAAATAGAATAAAAAAATAAAAACAGAAAAGGAAGAAGACACAGAGGAGAAAAGTAAATAAGGTAGTTTTATTTCTATAAAATATAAATAATTATAGCACTGAAACGAAAAAATAAGAGCAACATATTCTGGATTATTTATGCATGCATTTATAGTCATTCAACTAACATTCATTGAGGCCAGGAATTTTACTAGGCCTCAGGTATGCAATGATAAAAAAATAGTGCTCTTTTTTCTGACATAAATAATCAGAAAGTATACTGACAAATAAAATGATAGAGGCCAGCATGAGGTATGAAGGAACTCTCCAAGAGAAAGGAATATGCTTTGGTTCTATACTTTCTTAAATGTAATTTATGTGTTAGATTTCTTTTTCTAATCTTCCACTCTGGTTCCCAACCAATCACACCCTTTGTATGTACTTGTCAAAAAAATATTAAAATTGTACTTAAATTTGCATTGATATTTTAGTATTTAATTATTTTTGTAATTCACAGATGTGTATTAGCTTTTTAACCTATAGTCATTATGGATGTAAATTAGTATTATTCAGCTAGTATTTATTCTCATACCCCCTTCCCACCCCTAGGAATTCTTTACCACCTTGACAATGGCTTGGGCATGTGCCTTTCTTTGGTTGATGGAATGTGAATAGATGTGCCATACCCTAAACCCTTCCTGAGGTTCTGATTGCTTGCATGATTTGGCTTGGCCTCTTGATCTTTTGACCTCTGCCAAAGGAAGAGCTTTCCTCAGATAGTTCTCGAATGAAAAAGCACCCAGAGCTCACCAAGGCTGCAGTCCATTCACAGCACTATGAACAGGAAAGAAACCTTTTAAAAAATGTGACAGTGCTGGGCCTTGGGATTTAGCTCAGTAGTTTTGCTGCCTGCTGCGCAAGCACAAGGACCCAAGTTCGATCCCCAGTACCAAAAATTTTTAAAAAATAAATAAATAAATAACAGTGCTTAAATTTCTTTATTTTGAATTGACACATAATAATGTTTATATTTATAGGGTACAGTGTGATCTTTCAATACAGTATATGTATAAAATGTATAAGGATGGGGCAGGGCAATTGGCATATCCATCTTTAATAATATAAGCCATAATAATATAATATACAGTATAATATATAATAATATAAGTTGTTTGTCACTGTAACAAAAATTGACTAATATCAAAGTCAACTTTATAAGTACACTTGTATAAAAGGCCATAATATTACAAACAAAAAGCAGGATATTTAAATCAATTTTCAAAACAGAAAGAATCTAGCATTATGTATAGATTGTGGAACATGCTCTATTTATACTGTCCTTAACATGACTGCCCTGTCATCATTTAGCAACAAAGTGTACGCATGAGGGGAAACAGTTTGGAGTCTTGCAATAGCCTACAAGTATGTCTATAGGTCTATGCATCAGTGTAATGTGTAGCTATATACCTGTCATGATTCCCCTCATGCTATAAAGCTTCAAAGTACAATGAGTCATTTTTTTCAATGACATCTTTTGCCATTATTCTTATTCAATGCAAAAAATGTCATGAGAAAAAAAGGGTTTTACCCTCATGAAATAGAATTTAAGGCTTACTGAATGCTTTAGACAGATTTTTCTATGTACCAATGACTACAGAAAACAAAGGGGAAAGAAACCATGTTGTAAGACTCCAATGTTGTATGGTTACACATCACAGATACATATGGTAACAAAAAGAATAATGGTATCAGACAATAGTAATTTCCTCATTGATAGCAAGGTTCTGGTTCTAACACTGAGAGGGATTCCTGTTTCAACACCATCCCTAGCATTTTAGAACCATCAAAGACTAACACTCATCTGCTGTTCTCCTCATGCAGTATTTGCAACGTTCTTGATATATGACTATTTCAAAGCAAACTCTCTGTCCCAGAATTAATTATAATGTTGAAGATTTGTATACGTGAGTGGAGAGAATATAACTACAGAAATCCAAAGGATGTTATGTCATTTCCAATGTATTTTTATATGCACTAGAAACAAGCATAGTTTTACAAAGTGAGAAATGCTTTATAAGCACCTGTGGGACATAAACTTCCTTTTACAAAGACACACATTGGCTCATTCCTCAACCACCTACTATTTGTCAGCTAAATGAAAATTATTTTTACAGCTGATTTTTGCAAAAGTTTTTCACTGTACCCTCCAGAGGTGTTAATATGTTTTTATCATTTTAATATCCAATAATAAATCCATTTTATATTAAACTTATCGTGCTTCTCCAGTGCTTATATTAAAAGGAAGTTGGGGACTAATTTCAATCAAAGGAAGCATATGTAATGGTCCCTCTAGGAGTGCTTGAGTCTCAATGTTTGAGGGAAGGGTAACAATCACTTAAAATATGAATGAAAATATTTTCCTAAACTTCCCTGAGTAAAAAAGAAAAAAAATGTTTGAATTCCTTTGCCTGTTCCAAGTGAACCCGTAGCCAAACAAATGAAGCTTATGGTTGCACAGCTGGAAACCTATTGCTTCTTCCTTTTATAAAAATAAAATCACAGGTGATTGTGAAACAGTTGGTTTGAATTTGCACTTACAGAAAATAGGTAATGAATTACTTCCTCCACTCTCTCTAGGTACTGAATAGAAGCATTTATTGTGACTCCATCATATACTGAGTATATGAGACTGAATATGAAGGCTAAAAATGCCCTTTTGAGAGGTCATTTCACCCATCCATTCCTTGATTTGTTCCTTTGCCCTTTTCTTCCTGTGTTTCTTCATTCATTTAACAATAAATATGTATTAAGCTGTTCTTGTGAAGTAGGCACTGTCTTAAGTTCTGGGAATACAGTGATAAATAAATAAACTCAGGAGAAGCTCCAAAGACAAATCCAGGCCCTTCTCAAATTCACTCATCCATTTATTCATGTTTATTTCCAACACAAAGTACAATGAAGAGAGCCAAACAGACATGGATTTAGTTTTTAGTTAACAGCTGGGAGATCTTGAGCCAGTTTAGATTTTCAGAGCCTCAGCTTTTCTATCTCCTGTCTCTCACAAAGAATGATAGAGTGGATCACAAAAATCATTTTTTTTCCTCCCTTCTCATGTCTAATCTCACCACTTTCCACACATATTAGGGCCTAAAAGGAGCAGGATACATTTTCTAGCACTGTGTTTAGTTGTACTAATAATACAGAGAAACAGAAAATGTCATTCTTGTCTTTTGGAAAATTAAATTTACAGGTATAATACCTGGTCTCTAATCTATACCAAGCATTGTTCTGATTGCTCTAAATGCATGAACTTGTCTTCCCAATAATTTATGAGATGAGAATTATACCCATTTATTATTGTTCAGACATAAAATGTCTTTCGGAGTCTCGTGTGTTTCGAGGTACAGCTTTTGGAAGTGATTAAATCCTGAGGGCTTCAACTAGATCAAGTAGATTAATCCATTGATGAGATCATACTTTGATGACATTGTTGTCAGGTGATGGAAACAGGAGGTGGGGTCTTGTTGAGGGGAGTGGGTCATGGGAGTGTGACCTTGGACACCGTATCTGGTCACTGGTCCCTACCTCTCTGGCTCTTTCCCTTTCTCTCTGCTTCCTGGCTGCCATGAGGTGAGCAGCTTTGTTTTCCCACATACTTCCATTATGTTTCTACCTCGCACAAGCCTAGAAGCAATGAAATCAAGTGACCATGGACTAAAACCCCTGAAACCATTAACCTAAATAAATCTTTCCTCCTTTAAATTGATTTGGTCAAGTATTTTGTCACAGCAACACGAGGTTAACATGCTCATCCTTTTAACTGGATGAGAAAGTAGGTACAGAAAGATTAGGAAACTGCCAAAGTCACAACAAATACTGAGTATCAAGGATCAAATCTAGGCTGATAGCTCTGGATCCTGAGTTTTTAATCACTGCACTAATCTGCTACAGGGGAAGCTACTAAATACAAAAAGAGAGAGGATAATTGTTTTGTGAGAGGTCCAAACAGTAAGTGGATGAGGGATGGGAAATCAAGGGAATTTGCTCCAGAGCTTCAAAACTATATAAAGGAATAGAATGATAAAGAAAGCTATTAGGCAAGTACTCTGCCACTGAGCTACAACCCAAGTCCTTTTAAAAATTTTTCTTTTGAGACGAGGTCTCCCTAAATTATCCAGGCTGACCCTGCATTTTCAATCCTCTTGCCTCAGCCTCTCAAGTCACTGGGATTACAGGCTTGTGCCACCACACTTGGCAATAAAATATTTTTAAATTAAGGTATGGACATTGTTTTTTAGACATAATGTTATTGCACACTTAATAGACTACAGCATAGTGTAATCATAACTTTTATATGCATTGAGAAACCAAAAACATGCCAGAGATTTAGCTCCGTGGTTCTGCGGCCTGCCTAGCAAGCGCAAGGACCCGAGTTCAA